TTGTAAATTACTAGGTCGAAGACGATCGTAAGACTACGGTCGACTGGGGACGGTACCGAACTAGTGTAAGGACCGACTATGGTAGCGATGTCTCTACGTCGTCTCTCTCTCTCTTTCTTCTCTCTCTCTCTCTCTCTCTCTCTCTCTATTGAGTTGATGGATTTACTTTTTCCATCTGCACGGTTTCTATAAGATTTATTTGCATAATCATTGTTAGCACACTGTAGCTCTTTGCCAGGCCATGATAATCTTGACTGGTTACTGCTCTTAATTTAGTGAGGTGTCACACTGAGCTTCTACTGTGCATCTCAGTAATGGAAATCCCCATAGTCTTGCACATCATCTCTACATCATTGATTATCATGGCCTCAAATCATCTTGCACCTTCCAAATTTTCAAATAAGGTTTATTGTGATCATAGTTATGTTTCTCTCTCAAACATCCACAGTCCAGATTTACGTGTTGTGTTTTTTCTCTCTGTGCTTGTGCTTCACATGTTCACAGGAAGCTTGCCGAGCTAGGGTTTAACAGAAGTGCGAAAAAATGCAAGGAAAAATTTGAGAACGTGAGTAAATACTACAAGAAAACCAGAGATAGTGCAAACACAAGGCAAGATGGGAGGAGTTACAGGTTTTTTAACGAGCTTGAAGCTCTCTACAATGGTGGAAACAACCAGTTTAAACCAGTAGAGACCCTTTCTCAACAGAAAACCACAGTGCAAAAGACTAATGGAGAGCCAAATGTATGTTTAAATTCTCACTCATCAGAGGGAACTTCAGAGGAGGAAACCCTAGAAAACCCTGAAACCCATGCAAACCCATCAGCTTCTGATCAAAACAGAAAGAAGAGGAAGAGAAAGCGTAGTAGCCTAGAGCTTATGAAGGGTTTTTGCGAATCCATGGTTGAACAATTGATGCACCACCAAGAAGAGCTTCAAAATCGCTTATTAGAAGCAGTAGAGAAGAGAGATCAAGAGAGAATTGCAAGAGAAGGAGAATGGAAAATGCAAGAGATGGCAAGGCTTAATAGGGAAACCGAAATCAGGGCTCAAGAGCATGCCCTGGCGTCTGATAGAGAGGCCGCCATTATCGAGTTTTTGAAGAAATTTACAGAGAATTCAGCTGAAAACCAGAGCCCCACTCAAGCACCAGACCCCAAACCAGAAGAAGCTCCAAGCTCTGCAAACCCAACAAATTCACTGGCTTTGCCACCTGAAAATCATTCCCCTAACCCTAATCCAATCACTGAGGAGAAATCAGACCAGAGTGGTGTGGTTAACAATGGTGGGTTTCATCTGAAAAGGTGGCCAAGGTCTGAGGTTATCTGCTTAATCAGGCTTAGAAGCAACCTTGATCAAAGGTTCAATGAATCAGGCTCTAAGGGTTCACTGTGGGAGAACATATCAAAGGGAATGGCACAATTGGGTTATAATAGGAGTGCAAAAAGGTGCAAAGAGAAATGGGAAAATATTAACAAGTATTTCAGGAAGACGAAGGATGCAACCAAGAGTAGGCCACCTGACTCTAAGACTTGCCCTTATTTCCATCTTTTGAGCAATCTTTATCAGAAAAAGATGGAGCTCTCTCCCACCCAAAAGCCAGAAAACAGCTCAAACTCAACTGCAACTCTAGAGATAGAGAGAGAGAACGAGGTAGAGAGAGAAAGTGAGTCTCTGAGAGATGGTGTCCAAACAGTTGGTGAGAGGCCCAATGTGTTGCTGCCTTCTATTGATGCTGGTGATGATCGTGGTGCAATGATCATGACCCATGATCCCGAAACTTCAAGGAATTTGTATGATGAAACTGTAATGAATGGGAAGATCAGCATGGAGAGGATGGTCAAAGAGATGATAGAGATGCCTCATGGCCATGGCCATAGCCATCAATGTGGAGTGCCTCTTAACATGGGGTCACTGCATGCATCAGATGCTCAAGAGCAACTGTCTCAGTCAGCTTTCATGGCCTTGGTCTGCAAGCTTTCTTCATCAAATTACAACACAGATGAGTGATGGGTTATGAATGCGATCATGGCATGGAGATAGGGCTAATCTACTCTTTAATGCTCAGTTTTGGTTCCCAAAAACTCCCTCTTCTCAACCAAGAAAAAGGTATATATATCATGACCATTTCACACATCATACATCATACCAATGCATCATCATCATCTTCACAATGCTATCAATACATTTATAAATCATTATATTTATATATGTTGACATTATTTACAGTGAGGAGACATACCATAAGAACATAGTTTTCTGTTCTTATGTCTCTATGGAACAGTGTGAACTTGCAACGCCAATGATCTGAAACTGAAGCCTCAGTATGATCATGTGATCCGGCTCTTGTTTTTAAACATGGAGAAACCCATAGTATTTCTTATTTCTTCTCCTGAATTATAAGAGCCCCTCTATTCTCTAATATACACAATGTCTTGTCTGCTTTCTTTTATATGCTAAGATCCAGTTTATTTAGAGAGAGAGAGACTTGCCTTCCTCGAATCCTAGAGAGAGAGAATAGCCTCCCTAGAATCCTAGGTTTTTAAGCACAAAATGAAGCAATTATGACAGACACACATGTTTGTTGGTTACAAAAATTCTAGCATCCATATTCTAAAGAAGTCGCATATCAAGGCGCATGCTCTCACTTCTATCTAGAAAATTTGAGAAATGAGTGTTTGTGCGCCTCGCCTTCAATAATATTCTTCAAACTAACTCTCTCTACACATTTCTAGAGAGAGAGGGAGGTTGAGCATATATATATAGAGGGGGAGGAAGAGAGAAGCAATAAAACGTTCAAATGTCTCGAGAGAAAGGGAGGAAGATGTGCATGTCTTCATGAACTCAGAGAGCGAACAAAAACATTAAAGAAAATAGTTTATATAAGTACGAGGCTCTAAACAATCAATTTGGGGCGTACCTCTAAAATTTCACTAGAAGATATTATTTTGATACCCAAATGATCATCTCAACCTCAAGATGCATGAACATAAGAAAAAAAAAAATGAAATTAAAATTTTGTAAATATTGTATCATGCAATGCAGTTTTTGGACAGTCAATTTTCAATATTTTCGTAGATTTGCTTTAAAGTTTATAATTAAATATAAAAATATATTTTAAAGTTATCATAAAGATTTTAAGTATTGAATCAAATTTTCAGATACTCTTTGAAGGTGTGCGTTATTTTGGTTGTTTAGAGCCTCGGCTCTATACAAACTGCAGCACCGAAGCATGAGAGAGAAACCAAATCGATACATGATTTTGAAGGCTTTAATTTTCATTTTTGGGTAGTAACGAGCGAGAGTGTGGTACGGTGATTAAATGGCGTCGGCCTCGAGGTGTGTATCTGAATATACAACCCGTGTCCCTCTGCTCCCGCATGCGTCACCTCTGACAGCGCAATGCTATACGCCCTCGTGACATTTAAGTATCTCGCAGAGGAGCATGTGCACCCCCTGCATTTCTTTCTTATCCTTTTCCTTGTTTTGGAGGTTTTTGGGAGAGAAGACAGAAGGTGATCTTAGGGTTCTGCCTTTTTCAACTTTCAATTTAGAGAGAGAAAACAAAACAACTTTCAATTCAGAGAGAGAAAACAAATTAAGAAAAAGGCCATGGGGCCGGCCGGCGCAAGGACACTGAAGCGTCTGACTGTAACGTGCGTGTTTGTGGGTGCATGCATGTCTGCCTGGTCTGGAGCCTCATGCTACATAGACGGCATAGATCTTCACTAAACAAGCATAAACCTCAAGTTTTAAATTTTATAATTAAAAATATATATATATTTTTTAAGGTTATTACAATGATTTTTAAGTATTGAAACTATATTTCTCAGCACTATTTAAAGGTATATTTTATTTTGATTGTTTAGAGCCATGGTTCTATACAAACCGCTACATTTTTTTTTTGTTCTTTTTTTCTTTGTTTGACATGAAAGCAATCACCACCTTCTCTCTTCTTCAGATCTCTAACAAGTGATTTATATAAACCATGGAATAGCTAAAGTCGGTCGGGATCGTAAGGTGGGCAGATCCGATACTAAGAACCCTGAATTCTCCCATATTCTTTTAGCATTTCACTTTTTAAATTTGTTCATTAACAGTAGCTAGATCAGACCCAAGTGTGAACTCTGGATGAATCAGAATCGGATCCTACCAATTTAGGGCCAATACAGATATTGTTGTTTAGAGTGGGCGATTCTCTACATCTCTCTCCTCTGTACTCTCCTTTTTTTTTTCTTTTACTTTTTTCTTTTTTGAACAGTAAAAGATGAAAGTGAAAAATACTATCGTCAGCTGTCCACTGTATTTTCTCTTTCTAGATTATGTAGTCTCTAAACCTTCATGAACATATAATATTTAGGAAAGAGGTTAGGTCGTGGTGGTAGCACCCCCATATCTAATTAAGATGTTATAATTATCAATCATGCCGACATCACCCACCGCCACCTTCAAAAAGCTAATACCCTTTATCTACATGAAAAACGGGTAAGCAAATTAAATTACCAAAGAAAAATACATAGTCTACCCTCTCCAGTCTCTACATCTCAAACATTCTCTTCACACATCTCTGCGCCTCTCACTCTCTTTACCCCTCGTGAAGGCTTTACACCTCTCTCTAAAGTTTCGCTCTCTCTCTTTCTCTGAGCACATACTCTCTCTACCCCTAGTGAAGCCTTTACACATCTCCCTAACACGCACTCTCTCCCTCTCAAGTGTCTCTGAACCTCTCTCTCAATTGTCTTTCCACCTCTATATCTCTCTTTTCCTTGCACCTCTCTCCAAAAACTGGACATTCATCTTCTTATAATTCCCTTTTTCCATTAAAATTTGGACTCCCATAATTTCCTTTTGTGCTTGTACACTCCTCGATAACTCTCTCTCTCTCTCTCTATACAAACAAGTATTCATCTAAAAGAGACTCATTCATGCATGTCTGGACTCTGGAACCCCTGTTGCTCATGAAAGAGGTCGGGGTTCCAACTTTGTCTTTTCCCATGAATACGAATACGTCAAAGTGTAGCTTGTTAATTTGGACGGCTCACATTTATCGGTGATTTTGAACTGTCCATCTTAGATACGCTTCTATTCAGCAATTTTTTGAGCCCCAATTCAATTTTTCCTTTTTCCGTTTTTTTTTTGGGGGAGGGGGGGGGATTATACCACCCCTGTGAATAACATGATCGCAATATCACTAGGCCGTTAGATGTGAAATTCGATAATTTCGGTGTCACAAGGCTCGAAAATATTTTCTTGAATGTCCTCTCAATCTTGCATCTAACTGCCAATGATGGTTGTGACCGTCGATAATCTCGACATCAAAATGCATGGACATGAAAAAAAAATGGAGTTAAAGTTTTGGAAATAGTGTATTTTTTGACGTATTTTTGGACCATCAATTTTTAAGATTTGCAAGTTTTCATAGATCTATCGATCTATATTATTTTTGGAGCTTTAAACTTTATAGATAAAGATGAAAATATATTTTAAAACTATCATAAAGATTTCCATTATTTAAACCACATTTTTCGACACTATTTGAAGGTAGACTCTAATTTGATTGTTTAGAGCCTAAGCTCTATACAAATCGCACCCAAATCTTTTTGCATACCTTTTTCTTTCGAAATTGATTGCGAGGTTCGAAAATCGTTTTTGGAATGTTATGCCGAATCATAACACAACCCTAATCACTCGATCTTGCATTTAACCGCCAATGCCGGTTGTGACCTCCCCGTACTAAAATCTTGTTGCACACTTCTTTTGAAATTGATTGTAAAGTAAATTGAGATTTATTTGCAGCAAAATTTAAGAACAAATAGCTCTTCTTAACTTGGTGTTCAGAAACATGCCAGACCAAAGATCCATCCATTCTTTATAAAAAATAATAAGAAAAGAAAAATATCATTTAAGGGGTCAAAACTTCTTACAAATTAAATAAGAGAAAGTATATAATAAGAATTTTTATCTTTAATACAAGATGGTCACAATAAATATTGACCAATGACCATTAGATGTGAAATTGGATAGCTGCATTTATTTCATTGACCAAGCTCAAAGTTTAAAATAAATTTTTTTGAATTTTGTGACACACCCAAGCTATCAGATTTCACATCGGATGATTGAAAGCAATTGTGACATTCCTACACTAAAGGTTAATAGTCTCATTGTATACAATTCCATTAAATAATTGAGGTTTTATAACTTTCATTTTACTTTAGTACTTCCTCAAAAAAAATCTTAAAGATTGATATTTTCCTTTTTTTAATCTTTTCTCTAATCTTTCCCATAAATTAGATAGAGAAACTATCTCAAGTTTTTTAAGTTCTAGAGAGAGAAAGTATATTAAAATTTTAGAAAGAGAAAGTATATTAAAATTTTAGAAAGAGAAAGTATATCTAATTTTAGATTGAAACTATCTCAAATTTTGAGTTTAAGAGAGTGAGAAAGTATCTTGAAATTTTGAAGAGGGAAAACTATATCAAATTTAAGAGAGAGAGAAAGAGAGTACCCAAATTTTTAGTGAGAAACTATCATAAATTTTAAGTTTTAGAGAGAGAAAGCATTGAAAATTTTTAGAGATAGAAAATATCTCAAAATGTTTGGAAAGAAAAACTATCTCAAAATTTAAGTCTTAGAGAGAGAAAGTATATTAAGAATTTAGAGAGAGAAACCATATCAAATTAAAGATAAAGAAACTACCTAAAAATTTTAGAAAGTGAAACTATCTCAAATTTTTTAGAGAGAGAAATTATCTCAAATTTAAGTTTTAAAGAGAAAAAGTATCTTAAAATTTTGGAGAGAGAAATTATTTCAAATTTTGAAGAGAGAAACTATTTAAAAAAATTTAGAGAGAGAAACTATATCAATCTTTAGAGAGAGAATTTACCTAAAAAATTCGTGAGAGAGAAACTATCTCAAAATTGTTAGAGAGAGAAATTATCTCAAAGTTTTTAAAGAGAGAAGCCATCTCAAATTTCAAAATTTTAGAGAGAGAAACTATCTAAAAAATTATGCTTCAGAGAAAGAAACTGTATCAAAAATTTTAGAGAGAGAAAATATATTAAATTTTATATTTTAAAGAGAGAAATTATTTCAAAAATTTTAGAGAGCAAAACTATCTCAAAATTTCTTTCAATTTTGTTGTATTGTATCCCCGCATGCTTCAAAGTTTGTTTACCAAACATGGGAAAAAGCATACTTGAGTAAATTTTTTCTTCTAAATTGTTTGATTCTGTAAATATTTTCTTGTCAAAACTCCTCGTGCACCAAGCGACCCCTTAGCCATTTAAACATGGGAAAATACTCCATAATCAGAACAAGATGTTCCGTCGATAAAAAACTGGAGGTGATTTGTTGTTCTCTTTTGAAAGTCGCCCATGTTTTTAAATGTGCACACTTACTCAGCTCCACCCAAGGATAGGCAAGAGTAGCTAGCAGTGTACTTTCATAAATCAAGGCTTACATGACTGCAGCTCATT